CCATGGAGCTGAGCATCCCCCGAGCGGGCCATGGAGCAGATCTCTGTGAGGTCTCGGACCTCCCAGAGCAGGAGACAGAGGAGCGGGGCCGCAGCGAGCGCCCCGGGGCACGGCAGCCAGCAGGGGGGGAAGATGGCCAATTTTCCAGCAAGGCTTGGCTCTGAAACAAAAGCTTGGAGCCTCCTGGCTTGGAGAACACTGCAGGCAGGTGGTAAAGCAACCCGCAACCTGTCGGGCCTCTTCCTGGCGCTTCCATCAGCCTCACCTGTCACTCACATACCACCACCGACTGCTGTCACCTCAACCTGCAAACTCCTAGCACTGCAGCGTGAGGAGTTCCTGCCAACCATCCAAACCACCCCATGTCCTTTCACACCACCACAGCTCAGGACGTGCAGGATGTAGCTTTGTCCTTCATCATGGGCTAACAGAGGTGCCCTTCCTGGCTCTCACCACGGGTGAGGAGCTCACACACACACGGTTACCACCAGCTCAGCCAGCAGAGAACCACCACCAGCTCCAGTAACACAATGCTATGTATGAGCCCTCTGTCTCCAGAGGATCTGCAGCTTTAACTTCTTTTAAACACGTATCGTTTCTTTTTAACCACACATCCGAGTGGCACAGAGAGGTGCTGGACTGAGGCTGTGAGCCACTAAGACAACAAAAAGTTATCAGGTATTGCAAGATCTGAAGAATCAAGGAATCATTGAGGTTGGAAAAGACCTTTAAGATCATCGAGACCAACCGTTAACCCAACGCTGCCAAGGCCACCACTAACCCATGTGGCCAGACACCACAACTACACGTCTTTTGAATACCTCCAGGGGTGGTGACTCCACCACTTCCCTGGGCAGCCCATTCCAACGCCCAACAGCCCCTTCTGCACAGAAATCCTTCCTCAGAGCCAGCCTGACCCTGCCCTGGGCAGCTTGAGGCCATTCCCTCGGGGCCTGGCGCTGGCTCCTTGGCTCCAGAGACTCATCCCCCCTCTCTGCCCCCTCCTGGCAGGGAGTTGCCGAGGGCCAGGAGGTCTCCCCTCAGCCTCCTCTTCTCCAGACTGAACCCCCCCAGTTCCCCCAGCCGCTCCCCAGCAGACCTGTGCTCCAGACCCTGCCCCAGCTCCGTTGCCCTTCTCTGGCCACGCTCGAGTCATTCAATGGCCTTTTTGGGGTGAGGGGCCCAGAACTGAACCTAGCATTCAAGATGCATCAAGATATTGGCATCAGTGGTGTGGAGATCTGTCTCCTGACACGATCTGCTCAAGCCTTTCCCTCTCTTCATTGCAACATCCCCTTTTCTCCGCTCAACACATGAACTTTTGTCGGTGCATTGCTGCAGGATGGATACCAACAACCACACAGTGCAATATCCTAAAATCAGGGAGTTTGTCCTCAAAACCGCTGTGCTCACCTCTAGCGCCGCGCACGCTAATCCCCGACGGTTTGCAGACTGGAAGAACATCAGGCAGGCGTTTGCATGGCGCCAAGCCCATGCTCAAGGGAGAGGACTCCTCCAGCGTGGGGGGCAAACCCCGGCATCTTACACAAATCATGGGATTTCCGCGTGAGAAAGACCTCGGAGCCAGATAATGCAGCCAAGAAGGAGGTGGCAAACGGCTGCGCCGGGACCCGTATCGGCACATTTTGGCACGTTCATGTGTTGGGCTGGAGGATTCCTCAATCCGGCGGAGACATCTGTGTTTCTTATTGACTGCCCCCAGGAGTGGGCTGACTGAAAATTGGGAGTTTAATGAAATTTTAAATATAATTTTTATGGCGCTTTTAATTTCTCATAAAGCAGCAGTTAAAAGACTTTCAAGATTATGGAACTGCTTATTTTATGATCTAAGTATTGTAAAAACAATCTGCCTCAACCACTGCTGGAACCGGTTACGTAGATGGGAAACACTTTTGTAGGAGTGAGCGCAGCCCCTTTTCTTTCTGCTTTTTCGGTCGTAATCTCCAAATCTGGGTTGTTACATTCGATTCCCACTACCTCTGAGGTACAGGAGATATGGAAAGATTATATATATACCAACACCAGGAGGTCCAAAAAAGAGCAGAGCAGGCAACTGGGCTACAAGGCACGCAGGAATTACAAAAAGCACATTGCACGTACGGTTAAATCTTGGGTTACAGACGTGTTCTGGAAGACAGCAAACTCATTTTAAAAAGCAAATGCCTATTCTGAAAAAAGCATCAACTCCTCTGTTTACAGGTTCACAGAAATATTTGTGTTAGGTTTTTTTTTTTTTCTCCTCTCCAGAGTTTGTTTTTTTCCCTCTTTTCAAGTTAGCTCATTGGGCTGGAGCCAGAACTCGCTCCTAAATTGAGACGTAATTAGATGTGTCCTACTGTGTCTTTCTGGGCAATTCATTTAACCTTTCTGCCTTATTTCGCTTCAGGTTTAAATAAAGAGGTGAGAGAATCTCTCTTGACTGCATAAAGAAAGAATTATGTAAAGCCAAGCAATAAGAACAAGAGTTACAACTAACAATGACCAACAACAAACGTTTTAAAACTGACTTTTGCCTCTCCCTGAATGTCAGCAGTGCCATCCATGCACAAGCATCACTGCGAAGCTGCACCAAAAGACTTTCAAACCTCTGACATACATCTTGGGAAACAGCTTTTTGCTGGGAAAACAAAGAGGACATCCACCTTGACGGGCAGGACCGGTGCCTTCTGTCTCCTCGAGGGCTTTGTCCAGCTGGAGGCGCCAGCCCTGTAGCCTCATCGGGGGAAATGATGCCACAGGAAAACATTTTTCCCAGGTTTCTCTCATCATAGGCAACTTAAGAGGATTTTTACAACTTGCAGCTCCACTCTTCCCTGCCTCTTTCACACCAAAAACCCTGCTGACGTATACAGAACTATGCATACAGCCAAAGCATGCAAGATTTGACTCTTAATGTTTATTTAATTTACTATTTCTCCCCAGTCCTCCAAAAGCGTTCTTTTTGAAGGTCATAAAGTTAATAAACTGTATATTCAGTGCTTTGAACACGCAAAACAAGCACGTTTCTAGGGAGGGGGGATTTATAGCCCAGGCAAGGGGTCCCATCACAACCTCGAGCTTCTCCCCAGCACCATCCAGGCTCGCACGCGTCTCGTTCCAAACCTCAGCCTGAGGCAATGGTTCATGCGGCCATTCCCTTTTTATGCTGATGGGACAGCAAACTCTTTTTAAATCAGGAAATATTTTATGAACCCACAAGTCTGGAGAATTAATTTACTGGTGTCTTGGTTTAAGCCTAAGTCATCATCTTTTTCACCTCTACAACTGTTATCTATTGTGTATATAAACACACTTTCTTGTAATGTGCATTATATCTACTCTGATATAGAGTAAATTATCTGCACCACCTTCAAACCATGGTTAATATACAACGAAGTCCTTTCTTTAATTTGCCTCACCACTCTTTTAACCAGTTTATACCTTTGGCATTCACAAGAACTTAAACAAAAGCCTAATAAACTCCAGGATCGAAACTCCAAAGCCCCGTTCCCACATCACAGAACTCACTGGAAGTGCTCCAAACAGCTATAAAATCCTGTTTTAATATGGTAAGTACATGATAAAGCTGCTAAACTAGGTAAGGCTTGGGAGTCTGGGGAGAGGAAGAGGGCTGGAGGCAGAGACATAAAGTCAAATATGCAAGTGGTGTAATAAGGATGTTGAGATTTGCACCTGTGCTTTCAGGTAAAAGGATAAAAGAAGAGAAAAAAAAA